CCGTTAAAATTACAGACGAGGTAGGCATCCCTGCAGGGGGATTCATTGCTTCATTCCGTGTAATGCGAAATTTCGGTCGCGATATAGTTCACCTCAGCCGTACGTTAGTCAAACGGAAGAACTAGAGTAAAAAAGACCGACTTTAATGCGAATATCTGCAAGCCAGATCAACAAAAACTTGTTTAACGTTGCTAAATAAATACAGTATCACAATTTCATTTATTACAGCGCTTCGCCCCAAAAATGCAATCTTATTTTGGCCTCCAGTTTAATATTTTCCTATTAATCGCAGCTCTGCCGTCAGCCTAAATTCCATATCCCTCAAAAAATAAATAACAAAGCACAGTACCATTGTGATCACACGCATTACCCTTTTTGAGCGTGGATTTACAGCGTCGGCACTAGCAGTGCCTGTGTGAGCACTTGACTTTGATAAAGCACTTCCTCGTAGGTTTGAGGAGTCTTTGTTGTAAAATGCGAGGGCGGACAACTTACCTAACCAATTCATTTCTTCCCTTCTTTCAAGAGGATACACACCATAGATTAAGAATCCATTGGCTGATTGCTGACGCAAAGCTGTGCGTGATCACTGAACAGTGTCGCTATTCTGATGATGATAATCCTATTTGACTGAAATGGTCCTTTAATCTTCAAATATGGGTGTTGGAGAAGAGCCCTAGTAAAATCCAGCTCATGCCAGATTAACTGTATAAAATTCCATTTCCGCCGTAAGCTGAAATATCCAGAGTATATAGTTGTAGTCTCTTTAATTTACCCCTAGCTTGTTTGAGAACAGCGATGGATTGACGGATAACTTTTGACATGACTTCCTCAAGTATTATGGTCGAAAAGACTGAAACAACTATATGGCATGAGAACTTCTTGCCGGAAATATGCTCATCAATTCGAATTTGGTATTGTTCTAAATAAGTCCTCAGTGTATATCAAAAACGCTTCAAAATTGCAGGCGGTTATCGGAAATTGCATACAACCAGTAGATTTTGGAAGTTGTTTTTTGTCGAATAGCTGACTGTACTCTAGCACTAATAAGCCTTTAAGAACCATCCCTTAACACAGTTTGTAATAAAGCACACTTCTGTTAAGAAACTATCAGTGGGATTAGAACGAAGCTGAAAATTTTGATTCCGCAACTTATGCAAATTGCTCAAAATTTTTATCCTTATCTAGACACGCTGCAAACTTGCTGGTACTCTACTAATACCATAATACAAAGCAATCTGCGGATGTCTAGACCGCAACACGCTTTTGTAATTAACTTCGACTTACCAGGCGGTAAGTACTAGATTATATACCGTCGAATTTGCCTTCCCATTTTTGAAAAGGGTACGCAACTCTAGTTGTTACCAGGACAGAGGGTGATGTGAGCAAAAACTTTAAAAATACCGCAAATATATTTACCTAATTATTTGAATCCATGGTCAAAGAAATGTCGGTTGCCAACACTTGCGCATTAGAAATTGTGGGTAAACACGCAACTGGCTACTGACTAAAGTTACCATATTTGGAGCATTGTAAAATAGTGGGTGGATAAACTTCATCCGACTAACGACAACTTATGGGGCCGAAAGTGATTCCTGCATAAGCAGATCACATAACACGTTCTGCGTGAGTTCCAAACGCAACTCCACAAATGGAAACAATAATGGCCTGGCGATGTCAAAATAACAGAAAAAGGGCAAAACGGTCAAAACTGCAGGACCTTACATTTTTTCTTCCGAGTTATTGAAGCTTGAACGCTGTTTTGATTTGTTGATCAATTCACTAACCCTGGAGAGCTACAGCTGATTGAAATTCAAGGAAAACGCAAGAAAAGTAACACTTCATGATCTCGTTCAAAATGTGAACACCGCATTACGCTAAATGTTTGCTCACTTTTTCAACAAATCTCATTTTTTTAGGCTGTTCGGATGGCGTGGTGCTTAACAGAAACGCTTAAGTCACTTTGTTTCGAATATTTTTCCGAATAAACTGTTCGGGGATGCAGTTTTCCTGTATTATATGACCTAATAAGTTTGCTTCCGATAAATTGCATGCCTGTAAGTATTGGTGTTTATACTTGCACAAAATAGTCGGGAAGCATGCGTCATTTACAAGCAATTTCAACTTGCCGGCGATGAATATCTAAACCATTTTTGGCGCTTTGCATGGAGGTCACAAAGCGTTTGTTGAGGGTAATTTTCCCATTTTATGTTAAAAAACTTAGATGATGCTCATTTTTCACCAGAAAAGCCTCTTAGAACTTGAGAGAGGTCATCGTGAAGAGAAGCCCCTAACTAATAGTTTAAAGACAGAGGGGGACTTAATACTTCCCGGGTCATGTGATTTATCCCATTAGCTGTGAAGGCCGAGCTGATGCTCAGCAGCGAATGCCTAGGTTTACTAAATACTCAACCGAATCGTAGTCACTAAATACAATGTTACTGATCAACCAACACTTTCGTGAAAAAATCAATAACTTAGTAAGGCGACGGATATCTCTACTGCGCCTAACAAGACAGTCATGTTTGTTTCAAGAAACAACCAAATGTTAACGAGTTACTACAAAGTATGCTAGCAGTACGAAGAAATTATGAAATTTCCACTGGAAATTTCGTCATGCAATTATGTAGGGAAGCCGGGAAACACTGTGTAAAGGTTTCATCCTTATTGGGCATCAACGAAAACGCGCACCTTATTCCAAAATAATTTACCAACTTGCGCACATTTACGATTTTCTGACGCACGTTATCTCTGTGTACATTAGAAACCCTTGGCTATCATGTTGATGGCAGTCTATTAATACTAGCGTCAAGCGCTCTCGATACTCATATTTGGACATTAGAAACCTTGGCTATCATGTTGATGGCAGTCTATTAATACTAGCGTCAAGCGCTCTCGATACTCATATTTGGAGGGCAGATTTTACTACAGTATTTGGGCGAAAAAGTTTCTTTCTCGTGAAGGAGTTTTTAAGCTAAATAAAAGTTATTCTCAGAATAACATTATGAAAAGTGCATCTTCATTCTACAGCTGTTCTTTATTTGCTGAAGTCAATATTTTCCTAAACGGATGGTCTGCATTTCGGACCCAAAATATTCTATAAGCTAGACGTGAACATTCAGACATATTCTCAGTTATCGTGAATGTTTCGGATGTCGTGATCGCTGGTCATGATTTTATGTTTACAGGTGACAAGTTATTATCCATTCCTGCATTATGTTAATCCGGTACATACTGTTAAACAGCCACAAGAGAAATTTTAACCACTGCTTAGTACACATCATGTGTGACTTGTGTCGGATGGCTGACTTCGCGGTCGGTCAAAATAGAAGGGATCAGTTATGAGTGCAAAACGCACTCAAACTTTCCCTCAAACTCTCCTCAGAATCTAAATCTGTTCGTCCATATTGCTCACCAGTTTTTACTCACACAACTTATTAGTAGACTTATCACTGGTCCTAGATTTGGCTTCCCAAAATGGACAGCAAACACACTTGAAAGTGGATTACATTTCTGGCATCTACGTTCACAAACTGTTCTCTATAGTCCCCGTTTCTGACCCTGCATCTCACAACTTTAGATAAGATCTTACTGATTCTTTTGGTTGGTGTGTAAGCAGGTCAGTTGTATAATAAACAAGGTACACATATAAGCAAGTAAATACTTTAAAGATGAAAGCAACATAAATGTGGAAACCAGACAAATATTTTGTTTATGGTAAACGACATGACAGAAAAGGCTAACGGAAGGAGAACAAATTGAGTGATAGGAAGAAAGCTACTCCTAAATGTCTGAGATGTTTAGAATAGATAGAGCTTACGATATATGACCAAAAAAGTCCAAACTGGACTATCGTAAAGCGGTTTTACCGTCTGCTGAAACGTCTTAATTTTTTCAGTCTTCTGGCACCATTCCCAAAGGTATGCAGCCCTCCGTACCACCATGTGGTAACTGGCACACTAAGATGTTACTTACAGACTGGAAGCGCTTTAGCGGTGATGGCGCCTGCAACATATTCCATTCATTGACTTACTTAAATAGGCCAATCATGCCAGCAACAGATGTGTTCCCCGTACGTCGCTTGGCACTTCGCGAGTGAGAGTTGATGTTATTTGCTTTCAGAGATACATGAGAATTCCTAGTAATTTTTCGCATGAGCTATTCAAATTGCGCAGACGGAATGCGCATTTCTTATTCAGCGGTGGACCATATTGTTGGAAAGATAGGGTAACTTCAGACTTGTCTCAGGCACCATTAGGTAAAGGTGTTTTCATGGTGAGGTTGAAGAACAGGGAGCTGGAAGAATTCATTCATTAGGGTATCCATCAGGGGTATTCTGCATGCTGTGGTGCAATAGGGGCAAGACTAAATTTCCAAAGGGTTGATAGCCCACATCCCTACCTATAATGGGATTTCCATATGCCAGGAGGCAATATGGGTTGATGGATAGATGCATCTGATGGCTTGAAGTTTTTCTGCATCTTGACGATCTCGTGTATCAGATCTCCCACGTACAGGATCCCGTAACACTGAAGCTTCCGTTGTATTGAGCCGTTGCTGATTGTTTGAGGGGTTCCGTGATTTTTACAGTAACATCGTTTGTATAAAAGCTGCCGAACAATCTTGATGGATGGATAACCCATAGCAGGATTGATAATCTGTAACATAATAAGGGTAACCTTGTTAATTCGTACAAACATTCCATTATTGGTCTGCCGCAGGCGAAGCAGCTGTAAAATCATTCAAGGCCGGGGGTGGATCCCGTTTATACTACTGATCCGGACAACAAAAGCTAGTTTTGGCTCCTCAGGTACATAGTTGCCAGCTATTTTTCGGTGGTACCGCGAGCAATAATTTATCCTTTAAAGAGCGTGACAAGTATTAAACACGCTGATGAACAAAACTATGTCGGAAAAATGAAGTCAGACAGTAAGAGACAGGAGAAATACATTATCTTGCACAAGAATGACACAGGCTGGATATGGTTTAGCCAGGGGAAGTTAACCAATAATTGGATCTCCTACTGGGAGCATTACAGCGTGCTGCCAAGAAACAGGCACTTTCTTGGTCGTGTCCCCTGATACTTCGATGTTCCTCCGCCTTAGGTCAATCTCCCCGTTCGTAAATCCAGCGTCGGCGACACCTTGGCGGTAGACATAGTTTCGTTTTACTGCGTCAGCCACAGCTACAAACGGCAAAGGATTAGTGTGGAACAAAACTGGTGATGAGGCAAATCTATGATCACGCTTGCTTGCCAAGACGTATCCAAAGGCTTGTAGGGCTGCAGCATGGCATTAAAGTAAAGGAGCCGAAGGGTCAGCACCGGATTTTCCCAAAGCACCGAGGGAGCTCTTGGGGACCTACACTACCCCGTCAACATCATGTCGCAAACAGGTGCAAGTGCATTCGCTGGATCGTTCGATGTGGATACTGATTATCCACGGATGCCTGAGAGACCAACCTGAAGCGTAACGTGTAGGTTTCTTGCATCAGTCCACTACAAGATAAAATCATCATCCTCATCGTCTAACAGAAAACCGACTTCTTCCAGCTGTTTCGTAATGAAGGGAGGCTTTAGTGTTGAACCAGTCGTTCTGCTGACGGTATCCGCAAATTCAGTAGCCTTTGATCCCTCTTGAAAGTGCTTTACTTCACTGACTGACATGTTGCTCGTGCGATGCATGACGAACCTTTTATCGACTTCGACATCGTGTATCAACCGGGGCCAATGCAACGTGTGCTTCTTGTGCAGATTCACCTCCGAATTGCTAGATTCCTGACAGACGATCCATATGGCGTTCGGCTCCGCAAAACCGTATAACTGATGCTTAAAGAGTGTTGTGGTGTTCCTTTCTTGTTTAGCTTAAGCAAAATGGGTTAAGATATCCTCCAGAGTCTGTTTCTGGCCTTCTTTTACTTGCTTCGGCGCGATTGTAACTTCAGCCGCCTCAGAGGGCTTGAAAGCGGTCTGAAACCGGTGGAAGCTGGGTCTCATTCAGCGCCAATTCTAAATGTGCCATGCCAGATTCATCCTAATTCGAAGGGACTAGTGGATTGGTAAGGATATCAGAACTAGTCCTTGCATCAACCCACATTACCTCCTGGCACATGGAAATCCCAATATAGGTGTGGGCTATCAAAACCCTTGAAAATTTAGTCTTGCTCCTAATTGCACAACACCATACATAATCGTTGTTGTAAAACCAGCTATACTGGTAAGCATCTTGTTGAAATTTTTGGGAATTACTATCTGCATCCTCTTAGTAGAGGATCGGAAAAGCGACTGAACTGCACCATATTAGCTCACATAATGCAGTTTGACCACCGAAAATTTATCACTGATGTCCGATGTCTGGTCTCTGTCCAGTTGAATACGGCATACTATCAGCAGCGGAATTTATCCATTCGCCTGCACAAACCAAGTCTTGCCTACACAAAGTTCCTGCAGGAGCCGTTGGTTTGCTTCGCTTAGCCGCACTTTGGAAACTTGACCTCCATTTCCATACTCAACAGCCAAAACAAAAAGCTGTCATATAAACACAACGGCAAAAACGGAATGATATGATTCCCGGGGAAGCAGCTTCGCGAATATCTGTGATGGAAAGTCCAACCAAGGAAACTTCTATACGTCTGTGGCATGAAGTTGTAGTGAACTGTATGCGCAGAACCATCTTCTCTGAGGTAGGGTTTGCCTTTGTCACATGTCACACAAAACAACCTCTCGAATTCCAAAAATTCCTTTTGCAGCGTGACGTACCGTTATTTTGTATATAAACAGCAAGTTTACGTCAGTGAGTAAAACAAATTGTATTACGCTTTAAGGTATAATCTTGAAACACAGTTTTCATTTTGAAATTCAAGCCTGTATACATAAGAATGACCCCCACAAGAGTGGATAACGTTTTCCATGTCTGTAAGATGTCAGGCGGGGTGTAAGCATTGTAGGCTTAGATGAGTGATCATAGTAAACGATTTAAATTTTCTATGACTGCGGTAGAGAAAACTGAATATTTGTTGGAAGGTTAGCTGATCAGATTATTTGCATATCAGTAAAACTTCCTTTTGGAATGCTTCGATCAAACTCGATCCGATTCATGCTAACCAATATTATGTTCTTAAGGCTAAGTAGTTAAATATATGTACGTATATATGATTTTATTAACTGGTTAACCTCGGAGTTCCAGAATTGGCTTATCAATTACCTGCGGATGTAGCAAACTTCCACCCAATCTCCTGCCGCTTGTGGTACTCTTATCTCAAAACTGCAAGTGGCGGTCAGTTCCGCGTCATTTCAGGCCCATGCTCTACACGAAGAGCAGACTTCTGTTCCACTGAGTTAGATCTAAGCCACTCATTTTCTGAGGAGTCATGTTTCTGCCTAATTTACTTGGAAAACAAATACGTCTATAATGTGCTATGCTAAATAACGCTATTGACAAATTGGAAAAAAACAGATTTGAAAGTAGAAACTTTGAAGTGAATCCCACCTCAACGTTAAATCGCATTTGGAGGGTTTTACATGAAGATCTTCAGGTAAAACCGAGCTGATCTATCCGACCCTTTATGTTCCAAGCGTTAATAATGGGTTAGTTTAATTCCTTTTCCTCAAGAACGCAGTCCTGAGACCTTTTCCCTCCGTAGTAGCCTTTTGAGATAAGTACACACTATGAATGGCATGAGCACTTCTCTTCGTATCGTTCAGTCCATCAAAGTGAAGTTAGAGCTAAAAAACAACTGAGAATTCGTTTTGCTGCACGTTGCGTATTCCGTTTTTCTGGATAGCCTTGACGTGCCTTCAAACGAAGTTTATATTGACTAAAGCATGCACAAAACTAGGCAAACAGGAACGGTATTCTTAGATAATTCTCAGGCACTTTTTATAAAAGAAAGATTTTTGCTTCATGACGAGGAATGACTCTCCGCAAACGCCAATCAATTGCTCAACTACCTCGTTTGTTACAAACCAAAATTTTATGAGTTTACTAAAACCTGTTTAGAAATGCTGCGCAACTTTCTGGAGTATGCTGAAAATGCGGTCGTTGCATTGAACACTACTGGATGATGTACGTTATACACTCGGCAGATGCCAGCTTAGTATACCATCTTGCTGACGATCTCTGCACCGGAATAGTCTAAATTAACAGCATTGACTGGATCTTATACGTGCTGCAACATCCTGATCAGCTTCTTTCCAAAATTTCTGATTTTCGGGCATAACTTGGCTAATGATAGTGAGCATTTCTGAAATTTCGAACGACAGTTAGTTTTTCAACTAACTGGGTCTGAATTAATCTGGTATTACGCCCTGTTAGATAGAATAATTAGTAGAATCAAGAAATTTTCTTCATGCTTTTGCGTTGCAGTGGGGCTGAAAATGGCAGTCGTTGGATTTTCGGCTCACACACCAATTTAGTTAGCTTACTCAATGGACTGATTCGACCAACTGGCTGAAAAGACCGATTTCGATACGTTTGACTCGTCAGGTCACCATATTTCTGTGCAAATCCAAAACAACGCCACACTGGTAAGATCGGACAGTGGTTGTAGGTGACGCCAAACACATCAAACGATGGATTTGAATGGTCAATTCTTCAATATGTGGGAATAGCGTTTTGACAAATTTCAAGGAACACGAAATTACAAGCATAACCTGCCATACAGTCTCATTTAGATCGCCTTACCTCAAACGTCTTTATGGTGTCGATAGTGCTGAAAAGTGAGAAAAACCAGCAATCCTACAACAACCTCACAATTATTTTCACGTTTGTAGACGAGATGACTTGCGCGTACATAATTTTCCTTCGTAATATCAAATGGAAAAACAGCATCTTGATTGATATTCTAGCCACCTGTGTGGCTGGTACGGAGTATAGGGTCAACTGTAGTTTGAGGGTCGTGATTAATTGAACAAGATAATTTGACAACTTTATTCAAAGACGAAACTGATCATTTTTCTGAGCTTGCCCCCATCATGTGACCGGTCAGTCTGAAATGAAGCTTTTATAATTTTCCGATGGAAGAGAAATTTTGTGCACCATACTTAATGATGGATACAGTTACGTGAACCAACCACATTTTTCTGAATTGCGCCTGAATCATATGCATGAAAAGGGAGTATAATGTCCGTAATCCATCTGATCTTTCCCCTATAAACTACATGCGACCCATCTTGGAAGGCCATTATCCTGTCGATAAATTTGAATCGGAAATAAGGACAAACACTTCCATGTTTCCAAAGCGTCAGTTTTAGGTTTGCTATATAGCCATAACAGTATCCTTGAAATGCGAGTAGATTATCACAATAATATGGAGAGTGACCTTACTCCGATATTCAAGAAACCGCACGTTGTTCGGAATGCAGCAATTCTTTAGACATGCTTAAACACCAGGTGGTATACGATAATCAGCGCACAGTTGAGTTAAGCAGAACTCAATATCCTATTTCCTCTTAGCTCATTTTATTCTGTTGGTAAAACATATTTCATTGTCAGAACATCAGGCGTTTTACTAATTATCCAACGTGGACTTTATGAGTGCAAAGTATACTTTCAAAGGCTTTTATTCCAGTGGAAAACTCTCTCGGTCAGAACCATCTCTGCAGATTGAAGACACATGAATACCACTTGAACTGGCCTTACATTGGCTTGTCAAGCAAATTATTCTAGAAATATACTATCATGCTAGTTTTGAAGAACTTTCACAGAACACATTTCACTGTGCAACTCCTATTCTTGTTTTATTTAATGGATGGCTATTTCGTTCGTGTTGGTTTTTATGTATACAAAAGTGCGTAAAACGCAAAGAACGTTTAATTAGACTCAGATACGGCGTATAACTGTTCATCCGGGTTGAGAAAGGGGTGGAACACTAGCAGCGAATCACCAATGGGATTCCAAGTATTGACCTCCTGCTACGGAAAAACTGGCTTTTCAGATATGTGACGCACTTGCATCTGGAGCGAGTTTCGTGTCACTATCCTTCAGTCACGCAATTCAAACGTAGTTTGACACCCGCTCATCACCTTTATTTTTACCAATAATAAAAGTAAACATGAGCAGGGTTAATTTGAACCATGATGTTTCTTCAAATCGTTGGGTAAGGCTGTGCGAATTACTATAGTTCAGTCCAAAATGCAAAAAACTGACGAAACGAGGCAGAAACGTCCAACTGGTTGCTGGGTTCATGCACGCTGGACGAAAAAGGGAACCCAACTAACAAGCGCTATTTCAGCCGGTTGTGTAACATGTACATTTTTTCGAAGTGCTGTATTTTATTCTAATGCTAAATGTAAACTCGGCTTCAGCCTGCCGAAATCCACTTGAGTCAATTCAATGAAATCTTTATTCATTCGTAACGAGGGTTAAATTTACATGATATATATATATATATTTATATATCTATGTATTCGCCGGACCTTGATAAGATATCGCGCACACAAGGTTGGTGTTAGTTCACATCACAGACGGGCACGCAGTCGGATTCCTCGTTGG